ATTGAGTTTTGAGTCTATGAGAGATAGGAAAAAAATTCCATTTTTTCCAATATGGAAATTTAGTTGCCCCAGCACCATTTATAAAAACACCATTGCCAAGGGCAGTAATGCAGTGTCTCTTTTCCCATATATTACTTGCCCATATTGGTGTGGATCTGTTTCTGTACTCTATTATATTCCACTGGTCAGCTTATCTGTCCTTGTTTCAATGTCACACTCCTTTTCTGCATCCTTTCGTTTAAACCTAGGGAAATCCTCAATGAGATTGATTGACACAGTAGCCACAACAATAGACTCAAACATACCAACAATCGTGAAGATGGCACAGCACTGGGCAATGTATTGTTCTATTATACATAAGGTTGCCATGAATTGGAACCAATTCATTGGCAACTAACAATTACAAAAACAACATGGCATTATATTTAAAGTGGGTTCTTGTAGACTGCATATAGTTGCATCTTGCTTTTTTAATCCTGTCTGTCAGTCTGTCTTTTGATGGCTATATTTAGACCATATACATTTAATGTAATTACTGATATGGTTGGATTAAAATCTACCACCTTGCTAGTTGCTTTTTATTTGTCCCATCTGTTATTTAGAGCTGTTTTCTTTACTTCCATCTTTTAAGTATTTTTTATGATTCAGTTTTATCTCCACTATTGGCTTAGTATTTACATCCTCCTTTTAAATTTTAGTGGTTGCTCTAGAATTTAAAATATATGTGTTTAATCATAGTCTATCTTCAAATAATATCAGACCATTCATGCGTAGTGTAAGAACCTGACAACAGTATACTCCCACTTCTTCCCCCATCTTTTCTGCTTTATTATTATACATTTTCTTTTGCATATGATATCTGCACAATACATAGTATTTTTGCTTTAGACAGTCAGTTATCATTTAGAGAAAATAAAAACAAGAAAAGAATGTATTTTATATTTACCTACATCTTAACCATATCTGGAAATCTTTATTTCTTTCTGTAGATCTAAGTTTCTATTTGGTCTCATATTCCTTCTGCCTGATGAACTTCCTTTAACATTTCTGCTGGTAATGAATTCTCAAGGCTTTTGTTTGTCTGAAAAACTTTTCTTTTGCCTTCATTTTTGAAATACACTTTTGCTAGATATAGGATTCTTGGTTGACAATTGTTTTTTCATTCAACACTTTAAGGGTGTCTCTATTATCTTCTGGATTGTATAGTTTCTGATGAGAAATCTGCTGTTATTCTGTCTCTCTCTAGGTAATGTAGCTTTTTTCTCTGACAGCCTTCAAGACTTTCTCTTTATATTTAGTTTTTAGTACTTTGAATATGATGTGTCTAGGTATGCACCATGCCACCAGGGCTCCAGGCATTTATTTATTTATTTATTTTGAGGAAGAGTATTT